GTCATATTCGTTTTATATCATTGTATTTCAATAAGGACACAAAAAGGAATGTTATAGAGCAATACAATTTTTTAGCAATACAATTTGATTTTTGTTAATCTCCTTTAGCAGTGAGCTTGTTAAAGGGTTTGTATTCATTGATTTAAATGTGCCAGCTGTTTCATTCAAAAGCTATAAGAGATATAAAAATATGTTAAATTGTTTAAATTTTAACCTGCCTTGGATCTTTTACCTTAAAAATTTTGGTCAAGTTAAAAAAATCATTTTAGCTGCCATTTTTCCAATTTAGCCACTAACTTAAATTTTTCTTATAGAAGAACCTATATTTTATGATATTTTTAGAAAGTAAATGCAATCTAAAAACGTTTTTATTCTTGGCATTTTTTCTCTAACGCTACTCTTTTATAGTTATTGTGTCACAACTAAGAAAAAAATACTTGCGGCGTACATTCTGCATCATGTAGCTCCTAAACGAGTAAGTTTAGAGCGAAAATGCTAAGAGTAACCTAGGTAGAGCTATGTAACCTGTATCTAAAAAAGGGTTTTTGCAAACAGGAATTATTTGAACGAAAAAAACAATTTGTTTCAGATAATATTATTGCCAAACAAACACTTCTATCAATTTGTAAAATATATATTTACATACAATTGTAAATTTGATTACTTCGCATTGAACATCCTACATCAAAGGCCAGAAGAGCTAGTTTAACAGACACAAACTGTCAAGATTTCTAAAAACCTTAATAAAATACAATACAATAGAAGATATCATTGACTTTTGGGTACTTAAGTACGCATTCTATCTTTATGGACCAGCTATCACCATTTTTTTAAAGATCTTAGTTAAATGAATACAAAGAGTGATTTACAATCTAAAATTAAATTTTCTACCATAGTTTGTGTTACTGTGGCAGTTGATGTAACATAAAATATGCTATAGCTTGCAATAGGTGATACACACTCTGTGGGTGGCTAAATTCTACTACTCCCATTTCAATTAAAAAACTGGTAGCAACTAAGATAGGGATGTAATGAAGTAGGACTGCTGTCGGTGGACACGGTCATACCGATGACGATGGACATTACATCCAGGGTATTCTCCGCGCCAAGAAGCTCGACCTTGACCGGGATGAGGTGTAGGTCATAAAGAATCTAAATGCCAGAAACAGTGAGAGCCCTGAGGGCTTAGGTCACATGTTGGCCTGACTTGAAGTAATGTGACAAATAATTCCAGGTCTGTGTCCAACAGAGTAGAGGGGGTTTTTTAGTGAGTAGTCTGATAATTTCAGGAGTCTCACACTACAGGCTGGCTACCTGTGTGCGTAAAAGCATTTTCCCTCCTCTCCCTAAAAAAAGATAGGGATGTAATGGCTAGTTGGGGCGAAATACAAACCTCACTCCAGCACACCACTTAAAAGTATTTATGAATTAGTATTCTTTAATAATAAGACAATTAGAGAGATCATTCCGAAATATTTTGACTGAATTGATTCGATTATTTTCTATAATTTACACATATTTACCAATATATTGCAACACATGAAGTATGTGGATGGACGGTTGAAAGTTGTCTTAGCACTTTGATGAACAGCTATGATTATTTGTTTGTCAAAAAGAAATTGAGTTTTTTCATGTAACAACAAAAATATTTAGATTTTCATCCTGCAGCAAAAACAGCCGTTTAAAAGACATGCGCCACGGGACTAAAGAAGTTCATTCTATCCATATTGTAAAAAGTATTAAAAGGACTCAAAGATGTGACTCCTAGCACGTTCCAATATGTATATGTTACACCTGATAGGAAACATTTATTTAGACACACATTTGCGTGAAAAGAGAGAATTATGATAAATTGTTTTGTTTATTTATCAGGGTGTTGTGTTTTTAAAAAAAGACTATAAAACTATGATAGCTAACAAACTGGCATGGATTCTGTGCCACCATATGTACCAAATACTTGATGTTCACCTTCTTATCTAACTAGGTCGACTATGACTTTAACTTTAACATTGCTTCGGCAAAACCTCAAACAAACTTGGAGCTCTATAAAATCTCAACATTTTATCTCTGTTGGGAATCATAACCAAATTATTTATGGGAGTTGTGGGATTATTTGTAGAAAATGTTACATGGGACATGATGGTTTTTGTACAAATCTCCAAAAAGGAGAAAAATAGTGCCTTAGAGGACAAGTACTGCAATTACAAAATATTTTCCCCTTAAGACTTGTACTAGTACTGTATTGTACTCGAAAAGCTACTTTGCACCTATTAAGTGGAAACTGAAAAATATTTTTCCTACCACAACATGGAGATGATCACATTGTCATACCTAACAATACGCAAAATAGCTCATTGCCGTTCTAGAGCAAGAATGGACCATTCCTGCTAGCTAAATCAGCTGATTTCACAATTGTCGTTTCTAGACCAACCACAGCTGCAATACGTTAGTTAACAACCAATAAGCAAAAAACATAACCTTAATGGCATTTTATATACATTAATAATGGTGGTAGGAAAAGTCTTGTGCACAAACAGTCATTGCCGCTCTCAGCTTTGTATGGCCATCTACAGTTCTTAAGCGGAAATGACATACTTTGCGCTCTTAATAAACTAACAGAAATTTTGTTATATTCTAGCAAAAACAGCTGTTTTCAATACATGCGTTGTGGGTCTGAAGTATATTTTTTCCCCTATGAAGTAAAATCAGCTGAAGTTGATGACATCAATAGCACATTTTGTTTATTTTTAACTTCGATTGTAAGCAATCGATTGTTTTCAGTTCATTGTTGCATTGTTAACAACTGGATTAAAATTTGTTTATATTGAATAATAAAAGATGGATGACACTGGTAAAAAGTATATTGCACTTAAAGCCCAAGAAACTCAAGAAAATTGTTGACATATCGCTATCTATAATATGTCGAGGTAATCAATAGTTCGATAGTCTCATAGATACTATCGATGCCTACCAATAATATTATGGACACAAGAACAATTGAAATAGACTAAATTAATCAATACCTTACTAAACTAATCTTTTAAACAGCTGCTTGTTCACAAGAGGAAAATTTTAAATATATTTTTGTTTTGTAACATAAGTCTGCTCAAATAATGGTACAATATGGCAAAAATATTGTTTATCACACGGGAAAATAGTGGTTTTTTTCAACCCTAGCTCATTTTTGCATTGGCTTCACCTTGGTTGTCAAACTTGAGCTTGTAAAAAAAATGTACTTTACGTCCTTGTGATGAGATATACTATTATGCATTTAGATAAAATGTCACCAAAACCATCTCTCTTAATTAAATGGTTAAACTTGAAGATGTCATGGTGAAAAGTTCATCCTGAAATACAGCAAAAAGAGAAAAAGAAATATACCTCAAACCAAGGTTTTATTGAACAAAACATACCAATATAAAGCGAGATGAAAAAAGAAATAAACAAATAACACAAACTAAAACAGCTGCTAAATATATAATTCTATGACTTTCTTCCCCTCAGTCATAATCTTGGAGGTGGACAGGGCAATGGGGAAAAATGTTTTTTTGTTGAGTGCGTCACAGCATAATGGTTTGGTTTGAAAATTGTCTTCATCTTTCCTTTGGTTACTGTCGTCCCATACATCGTCTTCATGAAAAGATGTATGGATATGGATCTTATCAGTTGGATTGATAAAGGATACATTTTACATTTAGCAGCTGATTAAATTTGTGTTATTTGTTTTCTCAATCTTACTTTAGTATGTTTTGTTCTGCTTGTTAAAACTTTGGTTGAAGTTATAATTAGTTTTGTCTTTTCTCTCCATTTCAATTAGGTAATTAAGTATAACAAAACAAACTATTGTTAAGTTTAGTTTGAAATCAAACAAATAACATAAATTGAATCAGCTGATAAATAAAAAAATTCAATAACATGCACGTTTGACTATTAATTAATACAACTAGACATTTGATTCTCATGTTATTGTTACCAGTTTTTTAATCAAAATCGTCGTAGTTGATGTGAGCCACCAACAGATTGTGCTAATCTAAATTAGTGATGTGCATATCGATACAAGGACTAGAAAATATTGATATTTTCATCATAGGAGCGTATCGATACACCTATAACCAGTAATATAAATTCTAATTTTTAAGGTCAGTAAGCTATCCTCTGAGCTTCCTCTCCTCAAATTTAGTAGTCAAAATTTGATATTTTACCCTACCATCCTCTAAAACACTGATAAAACATGTGTTTTCAGCTGTTTAGCAAATAACCTCAAAACTAGGGCCATCATTAGGCTTAATGGAAGTGGCATCCTCATTATCTATATTTATACTATTAAATGCGTCAGTACCCACCACCGTTATAATTTATAAATACTCTTTCTATAATTATTTAACTATCCATGTGCAAAAACTAGGGAAAAAAGTTACAAAATCTGTTTTCTGATTTTGAGGGTTTACCGGAATTTAGAGGTTTTGTAGGAGTTTGAAACAATAAAAAGACACAGGAAACGGTTTTTCTGAGCCACTAACCCTCTTTACAAGCTTGTAAGTAACATAGTATTTAGCTCTGCAGCTTGTGTATTCGAGATATTTACATTTTTTTTTTCTAAAAGTTAGAAATAACCAATACGATACAATATTTTACCCGATGCGGGTTAAAATCGATACACGAAGATACGATACAATAAACGTATCGATACATCCCGTTCTGATACATCTCGATACATTGATCTGTATCGCACATCACTACTCTAAATCACTAATTTCTGTCGACTATAAATGGGATGTCTTCTGCAGTATCCAATAGTCAATGATGTACCTTAACTATTAATACAAAGTATGAGGCATGTGTAAAGAGCAACCATGGTGTGAGGCTGGCACTGGTGTGATGCATCTACAGCTGCTTACGAGTATTTGATTTTATAAAAAAGAGGCAGTCTTCACATAGCTTCATGGTTGAAAATTAACTAATAATCTGACTTAGATCAATGTCAAACTATCTGTTTACAGAATGGCCATGCCAATTCTCCAACGAGGAGTCATGAACCGTCATTATCCATGAGGAAATTGTCGGAAAAACTTACCTCGGTAAGCTTGAAGAACAAGACTCAGCCGTTGGTGGAGAATGATGCTTTTGAGGGCATCGGAGATGAGGATCTTTAATCTCTAGATAATTCTCTTGCTCATTCTTATGCATTTACTTTACATTGACTAGACAGTAAAACTCTTTGCAGTTTTTTTCAAGACCAATAATGAATGCTCACTTTCCTACAAATGCAAACCTTCCTCTCCATTATATTTGGCGTTTTTCTATGCCATTGGAATTTTTTATTTTTTTGCAAGGAAAAACCGTGTAAACTCTGGTTTTGTTACTATCTAGTGTGTACTACCAGTCTACTTTTTGTTATGTAGCTTCATCAATTAAAATAAAAAACCTGATTGTAAATGGCATCTGGGTACTTTTCTTTAAAATATTTTACACAATGCACTTTATTACTGCTTTACAGCTAAAAGAGCTGTTTTGGTGATTTGGAAATAAAGTGAAATGCCATTTTATATAGATTTTGCACAAAATGTTTAAACATCATTAGCGTCAATAGCCTCAATTTGTATTTGGTTACATTCACTGGTTTACTAGAAACATTAGTTTTTTCTTTATTTCTTTATATTTCTTTTAAAATCTCTCCCCCTGTTTCTTGACAAGCAATCTCAGGATGATGTTATACAACCCCAATTTAAGGCAGTAACTTAAATGACCCTGCAATATGTATTTGTTTTAAAATTATTCATATGGAAAATTAAAAGTCTATGGATACTGTTACATTTTCTGTCAATTCTAGGATGTCTTGTGTAAGGTGTTTATGAAAGCATAAGCTGGAACTCTTTTTATTTTCATCGAACTGGAACCAACTAAAAATCACTTGAAATTAATTAACTTTTTTAGTCTGGAATATTAGTTTATTAATAATTGTCAGATAAAACCCAAGACACACTTTGCCTGTCTGTTGTTTTAATACGCCATTTATCATGAATTATATGATTAGTCTGTAATGGTTTCTATAGGGTGTTTCGGTAAAGCGTAGCTGGCTATGCAGATTCAGATTCTACATGCAAAAATAAGTCGAAAATATAGAATACATTATTTTTTATTTCGGCTTAGTTTAGCCGTAATCCGCCATTTTGTATTTTTCTTTTAAATAATTAATAACACTAAAGCCCTTGGAGATATTTTTATGAAACTTGGTATAAACTTTAAGGCTACACGTATTAAGATTCTTCGAAAATATCTTTGATCAGGCTCATCAAATGTCAAAATGGCGGCCGTTTAAAATTTTGTTTTAATGGCTGTTTTAGTTGATTTTTACTTTAAAAATTTAAATGGCCGCCATTTTTTAATTTGATGAGCCTGATCAAAGATATTTTCGGAGAATGTTTATACCTCTAGCCTAAAAGTTTATACAAAGTTTCATAAAAATATATCCAGGAGTTTTTGAGTTATTAATTATTTTTGAAAAAATACAAAATGTCGGATTACGGCTAAACTAAGCCGAAATCGAAAAAAAGTTAATCCACATTTTCAACTTATTTTTGCATGTAGAATCTGAATCTGCATAGCCAGCTACGCTTTACCGAAACACCCTGTACAGTTTCAAAACTGACCTGACACCAATAAATAATTTGTAACCAATAAATACCTGCGCAACAACTACACCAGTCCTCTACACCTCCTTGATGGGTAATATTCGTCCATTAAAAAAGATTTTTAAGGAAGGTTTGATGAGCATTTTGATTATTTTATAATAACATTTCTTTTAATTTCAAAAAATACCCTTTTGACGTTACGTTGGAAACTGTTTACATGGTTAGAAGATCTTACTTTTGTACATACTGTATTTTATTTAAGAGTTTATACTATATGAGAATATATTTTTGTTACTCCTATTTATACATTGTTTGTAAGATTATGTTAATGTTTATTAATAAATTGTAACCCCAGTAGGCTAAGGAACTCAATATGATTTATGTATGGGAAAATCATAAATATTTTAATAGAACTGCTGCCTACTCACTAGAAACTCTTTTTATAGCTTAATGGACATATCATGTTTCTTTTAACTAGATAGATAGGTAAAAAAATCAAATCAATATTGAGAACAAGATAGTGATTCTGACATGATAATAACCTTCTACTGCAGTGTTACTGTACAGTATACTCAACCAAGGAGAATTAGCTCACTTAAATACACCTATACTGAATTTGCTAATTATTCAAAACAGTTTTTATGAGTTAAACTATATAACATTTATTTATTAATCAAATACTATTTATTTAAAAATTCAGTGGCTACTCCTGTTTGTAGAATGATATTGATTTTCTATGCATTTGAAATAATCTCATGCACAAAGATCCTAAAAACATTTTATACTATTATTATATCCATAATTTTAAGATGTATAACGTAATAGTTGCATGGACAATGTTAGACACAGTAAATAATGGTGCATGTTTTCTTGTGTTGCCAAAATATTGCAGCAAGATAAAATAAAATTTAAATTATTAATAAATTAATAATTAACTCTATAGAAATGTGATATTTTTTGCTATCTTTTCAAGCAGTGCAGATTAAGATTCTTGCATAAATAGCAATCTTGTTTTAAGCACAATTTAAAACCAATATCTATCAATACTCATTTAAAATTACAGTAGATACAATATTTGTATTCAAGATACAGTACTATTTATACGTCGTGAAAAATAGTTGTAAACTCAAGCAATACAGTTGCTGCAATAAATGTATAAATGAGGTCCAAAATTAATCTAATACTACAAGAATATCATAAAAACTTATTTGAAATTAGTATGACATAGTGAGTATTTTTTGATTGTTAGTAAGAAAGAAATGTTTGCACAACTTAAAGCAGAATGGTCAACAAGTTTTAGAAAAAAAACAACAATTATATTAATGAAAGATTTGCATGATGACATATATAAAATTAATTATTTCTTAAGATTCTTCTATTCAATGGCTTGTACCCTTCTTAGATAATTTTATTCAGATATAAGAAATAAAATGTTACAGCACAATGGTATTGTTCATATTTTTTATAAATCAGCATTCAACGTGACATGGTTTATGACTTGGGAAATGGGCCTTTATGGTTTGGAGTCAAAGAACCATATTTCTATGATCAGTTACACATCAGTTGAAAAAGTAAGATGATCAAAATACAATTAGGATGTTTCTTAGATTAGTAACTATTTAGTCACATTTTGTTTATATTATTCTGTTGCAGTTTTACATTACTATCCCACCTGGTTAGATGGAGTTAGTTTTTCTTTGAATATGTTTTTGGTTCAAATGTTTTACAATAATAAATCAGCTAGTAAGTCATAAAGTATTAAACATTGCTATTATCTTTGAGGGCAATCAAGTGTTGGTGCTGAAGAATTATAAGGTGTTAATTTAGTGTTTGAAAACTTCTTGTTGGCAATATGTTTAGGCACATCAGATGGTTAGATGATAAAAGTAATTTGTTGTGCCAAATGTTAAATGTTTGATATGATGTGTTGTGAGTCCAATCTTTTGTATGATATTATAAATATCACCTGATATATTAAAGAACTGTTTATATTGAAATGGCGTTTATTTCAATCACCAGCTCTTCTTGTAGTAGGCTACTTGTTAACACTTTGAAGAACATGAGTTTTCAGTGATTAGTTAAGCACAATTTTATCTTTTTTTCGCTCATCTTGTAATCACAAAAATCCAAATTATTTCGGAACGTTTTTGATGGAGTGAACTAAAAACAAAGATAAAAAAGTAGCAAAATGCCTGATTTAAGATGTAATTTACAAAGAATTTCAAATTGAATCCACCCATCGCGTAGCACTGTCTTCTACTTATTTAAGGTGGGCCTCTGCCACCAGACCTAACTGAGGAGGGATTTAAACCCATAATCATCAGATCTATCTTGTGGCTGGTGAGACAACGCCTCAGACCTAACAGTCTCCCTCACTAACAAACAACACTGGTCAATCACCATAAAACCCCCAGGTCGCAGCACTTTTAACACGTTGATTGTTAAAATTGCTATTGATGTAGTACGTCATGAGCGCTCCTATCAGTCTACATCTGTAGATGTAGTCGTGCCACTCCCACTACATTAGTTCAGTATGAGCTCAGCCGGGGAACGCTCTTATCGTTGCCAGACTGTAGCTTTGAATGTGAGCTTTCTTTTGGTGTAGGTTGGTACTAAAATTTCCCGTAAAATCCCGACTGGCAATGCTTTTGTCCCGGTTTCAGGGGATTTTTCTCTCTTTGAGCCACATTATACAGACACTGGCTACGGATCGAGGCTGTGCTGCTACCTTTGGGTGTTTCAGTGAACTACGTCCACTCTCGGGGTAATGCAGCACAATAATCGCTGCTCTTTTGTGATTCGTCATACTGAAATATTTGAATGCCAATTGCGTTCGATGGCGCGCCGGAGCTTTGCCACCATTTTATAGGTTTTCAGCTCTCAACGAGTTAACAGTTACTTTCCAGCCTTCATTAGTAAATTATATTGCTTACATATTTCATACCAGATTAAAATTGATTTAAGACTAGTAGTAATAACGCAGCATTGCAATATGTATAAATGTATATACAAAAATCATCACATGGGCTTCTGTGCGAAATAAGAATTTTGTATGTTAAAGTTTGGTTATGTTACTCTGGTATTACTCAGCCTTTGCCACTCAATGGGTGAAGGCAGGATTTCCTAGGTGCAGAATTGTGATATCATGCAAGTCTTTTAGGCACAGTGTTTAACTTGCCAAATTGTCAGTTAGGAAAATGCCTCTCTGTACCTGATACTTTTGGTTGAGTTGGAGCCAAAAAAGACAGCCTTATTCATCAGCTAGGGAAACCCTCTTTACTTTTTTTTACTATTTTTTGTAGCCTTACTATCCACGTAAGTTACAAAAAAAAACAAAAAAAAACAGAAAAATGTATAAAACTATTTGCCAAACAACACTGATTGATCTCTATTTATTGAAATGGTAAAGTAAAACTTCAAAGTTAAAATTTTACTCTTTCTCTATAGAGAACAAGGAAAAGTACAACACCCAAATCAACAAAGACACCTTTATTTAACATTCATGGACAAATATGTGTATAAACTTATAATATATAATAACTACATCATAATTTCATAACATTACTATTAAATATTTAAGCAGTCTTTTTTACAACTAGCTCCTCCTATAGAAAACAGTCAAGCTTGGTAAAGTAACATCTATTTATGTACGATAAGAGGATACAAAACAGATTTGAACATTTTATGAAATATAAATAAATTATAAATATTGATATTCACTTCAATTGATGAAACCCCTTCACAATTTCAATATTTGGAGATATACATTCGCATGTGATTGTATAAGAAACAAAAACCCAGTTCTGAACAATTAATAATAAAAACAAAATTTGACTAAAGGTCTTCAATGATAAAAAAGAATAGGTTTTAGAAGAAGCATGAAAAAAACAATACAATACAGTAGAACTGTAAAAGTAATAGGAAAAAACTAAAAAGACAATCTTGGAACACAAGGCAAGCTCTCTAAAGGAAACAGTTACACCTTTACTTGACATTTTATTATGATGTTTGGTTCACATCAACTTTCAGTACTAAAGAGTTACAAGTTAGAACATCTGTTGTGGATGTCAAATCAACTTTGGTGAAAAGCCACACAACAAATGACTAGATAATCAGACTATTCCCAATAAATTAGATTTCAAACTTTATTCAGAGGTCTCCTCAAATTTATTATTTTCAAAAAGTTCTAAGTAAATTTGGACCAAACTAGACAAATCTATATCAAACCTCAAATTCAAGTAGCAAAACCAATACCATCGTCAAAAAAATAATCTGCTTATTACAGTACATTACGTAACCAATGACTTTTGATTTTCGAGCATGGCAAACGGCAAACTAGAACAAAATATGTAAAATATCTCATAAATAAAAACATAACAAAATAAAAGACATTGGATGTCCGATAAATACCGCGGTGAATGATCAAAAC